AGTGAACAGTGTGCGCAAAGAGCTTGCCCGCAGTAGGATCGTGGACAAGGACAACTGAACCATAGGATACACGAGGCCATAGGTTAAGCTAATGCATGGCGTATCGGACAGCAAACGGCCACAGGAAATGAGGAGCAGCTGCATGGATCATGGAGGTGAGAGCAACCTTCATGATCAAACCAATGCGGTGTGAAATTGAACGAGAATGGAATGACTAAGGGAAAGTTGGGTACAAGTACAGACCCCTAGAAAGCTGTACCCCATATGTGCTACCCCACTACAGCCTACAGTAGCTATGTCATGTAAATCTGACACACCCCCATAGGCAAAGTGGGGGAGAATAAGGGGTCACAAGACCAGTCAAGCAAAGCAAAGCAAGCTCAGGGTGGATCACAAAGTCACCACACATTCCGAGCACAAGTTCAAGGCCACAAGGCCAGCTCACATGCAGGAGTACATATATATAAAAGGCTAGACAAGCAAGAACAGGTGTATATATATATGTAATAGTACAAACAAGGTCAAGAGGTGAGCAAGTGAGGCAAGGCAGGCACAAGACCCAGCTGAGTACAGAAGCGTTGATGATCACAAGGCGCAAGTGCCTTGGTGAAGATATCAGCAGTGTTGGCCTCAGAGGCCACGTACGCAAGACGCAGCTGACCACGCTGCTGCAACTCACGAGCAAGAAAGTAGCGGAGAGCAATCTGCTTCGTTCTGTGCTCCAGTCTGTGCTCCCGACACAAGGCCAGCATGGCCTTGTTGTCTACGTACACCACTGGAGGAGAACGAGGCAGCTCTCCTAGGTCAGTCAGCAGGTAGGTGAGCCATCGAAGCTCCTGTGCAGCCATGGCTCCTGCGTAGATCTCAGCCTCACAACTGGAGCCGAGAACAGAAGACGAGCGAGGAGCCCGCCACGAAACAGAGCCGGAACCAAGGCTGAAGGTGTAACCCTGCGACGACGGCTGCGTAGCCTGGTCGTCAGCCTAAGAAGCGTCTCCGTGTCCAGTGAGGACCACTCGACTCTGCCCTCCAAGCACAAGCCCCATGCCCGACGTACTGCACAAGTAGCGCAACACCCTCTTTGCTGCAGCCATGTGCTCCGGTCTGTGTCTCCCAGGAGCAACATAGCGTGCGAGAATGCTAAGAGGGTATGCAAGGTCAGGTCGTGTGCAGGTCATCAGGTAAATGAGACAGCCAACAAGCTCTGGGTACGGGCCACTCGACTCTACGGACTCATCCGAAGGCAGAGCCTAGAGCGAGTGGCGAGTAGGCATAGGAGTGGCCTCAGGCGAGGAGTACGTGAAGCCGAAGCGCTGAAGGACTTGCTGCACCATGTGTGACTGAGTTAGGGTAATGGTGCGGCGTGCTCTGTCCCGGGTGATCTGCAAGCCAAGGTAGCTGCGCAGTTCACCCAGGTCTGTGCACGTGTGTCTCTTCTGCAGCTCGGACTTCATGTGGGCGAGTCCAGCAGTGGCAAAGACCAAGTCGTCGACGTACACGAGGATGTAGAACGGCGGCAGAGAGGTGTCGGTGCGCAGAAACAGCGACGGGTCGGATGTAGAAGGAGCAAACCCAAGAGCCGCAAGTGTAGTCCTCAGTGTGTCGTACCACTCACGGGGTGCCTGGCGGAGACCGTAGACTGGCCGCCGGAGGCTCCACTGGGTACCAGGAGGAAACGACCCAGTGAAGCGAAGTGGGCGGCGCAGCCAGATCTCCTCGTGCAGGCTGCCCTGCAAGAAAGCAGTGCTGAACTCAAGAGAGTGTAGCTCGTAGTCACGGTGAGCAGCTATGTGCAGCAGCACCCGAAGAGTGGTCATCTTCGGGGTGGGAGAGAGGGTCTGAAAGTAGTCAACCCCCTGCCGCTTACTGAATCCACGAGCCACGTAACGCGCCTTGAAGACAGGCGGAGAACCCGGCAGCCGCTTCACCGTGAAAATCCACATGCCACTGACGATGTTCGCCCCAGGAGGGGGAACGTCGTCAACGTAGGTGCCTGTGGACTTCCAGGAAGCCATCTCTGCGTCCATAGCTGCCTGCCACTGAGAGGAGTAGGGACCCTCTATCGCCTCCGTGTAAGAGCACGGAGTCGGGATGTCAAGTGCATCTGGGTCTCCCTCAGGGGTAAGCAGTACGGACACGAGATGAGGTGAAGCAGCAGCCAAGCACTAGAACTCCTCCTGCCTGTCCTCAAGGACGTCCGTGCAAGGGCACACTCACCCCCGCCGGACGGAGGACAGACAGACTCAAATTCAGCAACAAGACTGGCAGCGTAGTCTAGGCGACAGCAAGCAGCAAAGTCGACAAGCTCAGCAACTAAGACAGACGCAGCAGTGGACTCAAAGGAAGGGTCAGTGACAATTGTGACAAGGAGACGCGTGATAGTAGGACTGGCAGCACGAAGAGAGTCCAACTCCGGGTCGGCAAGAGCACAAAGAGAAGACTCAGGAGGAGAAGGCAAAGGGGCACGCAGAGGAGCAGTGGACGGACGCAGAGACATCCGGTGCGTGCAAGGGATAGGAGGAGGACGCTGACGCGAACCACGACCAGTAGTGCGAGCAGCACAGACAGGCGACGCAGGGCGAGACACAGGCTCACGACGCTCAGCAAGACCTCCTGTAACTGTGTAGGGAGAAGGAGCAGGCAGTGGGGAAGTCCGCTGTAACTGTAACTGTGACAGGACAGGCTGTGGACACTCTAAGGGAGGAGGAGGACCAATAGAAGGCGGGAGACCAAGAACCTGCTGAAGGAGCGGAACAAAGTACGGCCGAGGCTGCGCGGCGACTCCAGACACAGCAGGAACAGCACCAGTACCCCCAGCGGAAGCACCAGCGCCAGCAGCACCTCCAGCTCCAGTACCTACAGTAGCACCTGTACCACCCCCAGCAGGACCACCTCCAGGACCGACAGCAGAAGCCTCAGCGCCAACAGCCTCAGCAGCTCCAGTACTCCCAGTACGAGCACCTCCGAGACCCGCGGCACCAGCACCCTCAGCAGCCGAAGAAACTCCAGCTCCAGCAGTACGCCTCCAGCGCCGGGCAAACCACTCGCGCAGCTCCTGTGGAGAGAGTGGCTCCCGCCAAGACGAAGCACCCGGAGAACCGCCAGGCACAACACCACCAGACCCCACACGAGCAGGCCCAGCTCCCTCAGGCTCCGTACCCCCAGGCTGAGCACCTCCAGGCGTAGCACCCCTAGGCTCAGCACCCCCAGGCGTAGCACCCCCAGGCTCAGCATCCCTAGGCTCAGTACCTCCAGACTCAGTACCCCCAGGTTCAGCACCCCCAGACTCAACACCCCCAGGCTCAGCACCCCCAGACTCAGCACCCCCAGGCTCAGCACCCCCAGGCTCAGCACCCTCAGCAGCACCAGAATCACCAGCGACCTCGACAGGCTCAAATGCGTCTACCTGGGACACAGCTGAAGGGGCAGGACCTTGAGGGGGAAGGGGGTCTACCGGGGGGGGACTTGGCACAAGGAAGAGCGATGGGGGGGGGAGGGACGGAGTGCGGTAGGGGAAGAGACGGTAGTAGGGGACCGACTCGTTGAACGCGACGTCCTGGGAGGACAGAACACGGCGAGAGGTGGGGTGGTAGAACTGCCACCCTGGCGCGTCAGGGGGGAAGCCAAGATAGACGCAAGGAGCAGCACGAGGGGACAGTTTGTCCGCAAATAAGTCGCGGACAAACGCCCAAGATCCCCAGACACGGAACGCAGACGCATCACCAACCTTCCCCGTCCACAGCAAAGCAGGGGAGGTCTCCGGCATGGAGGCCCTGGGCTGAAGGTTGATCTGATGCGCCGCGTACCGAACCGCAAACGGCCACTGAAAATGGGGGGCAGCCGCATGGATCATGGACGTACGGGCGACGTCCATGACCATGCCAATGCGGCGCTCAGCAATCCCATTTTGCTGTGGAGAGTCCGGAAGCGTGAAGGTCTGGCGGATGCCTCGCGCACGACAGTAGGCTCGCAGAAGGCCAGAGGAGAACTCTCCGCCTTTGTCAGAGTGCAGACGTAGAATCGGAAAGTCTGAGCCGAAGCTCTGCTTGAGCTGGAGACGAGCTGCGCGGATCCAATCGATCAACACCTCAATGGCATCACCCTTGCTGCGCAAGGGGAAGACTGTGGTGTAATGCGAGTAGTCGTCAACCACCACCAGGAAGTAGCGCTTGTGACCCTGTCCACGGACGCGGGCTGGGCCCCACACGTCCATGCTAAGCGTCTGCAGCGGGGCCTCTGTCGGAGGAAACTGGGAGGAGTGAGGGGCAGCCCGCTGCCGACCCTCGACACAGAGGACGCAGGTAGGGCCAGGCCCCAGAGGAAGGGGAGGGAGGGACCGGGGAAGACAAGAGACAAGGACACGGGAGGCCATGCTTCAGAGACGAAGCAGGGAGGGGTGACCAAGGCGGTGGTGCCAGAGGAGAGTCTCGTGAGTCAGGAGGCGACACGAGCAGGGGGCAGACTCAGGACCAGACCTGGACGCTGCAGCAAACACCTGACAAGACGCAGTGACTGGAGGAGACTCAGTGGTCAGTGTGTACAGGCTCGACCCCGGCCGACGTGTAAACGTGGCCAGGTGTCGGCCTATCCAAGCGTACGTGGAGTGGGTAACCCGCTGACTCGCAGGAGTGAACTGGTGAACCCCCGCATCCTGTAGGTCAGCACCACTCACCAAGTTCGTAGAGAACGAGGGGAGGTAAAGACCAGACAAGGTGCCATAGGGGGCCGCCCGACACGGGAGGACAGTGGAGAAGTGCGCAAGGACAGGATCCCCAGAGGGGTCTGCCAGAGAGACTGCAACTGGCCGACCAAGCGGCGTGAGTGTGGTGCGGTCTCGAAAGAAGGAGCGAGAAGCCCCCGAGTCAAGGGTGAAGGTGTGGGAGGCCGAAGCCGACGCAGTGCCTGAGAGAGCAGACTCACCAGACGCACCAGCGCCTAGAGCAGCAGTCTCGCTAGCACCTAGAGCAACAGCCTCACCAGTACCGAGAGCAGCAGTTTCAATGCCCGGGTCGGGCGGAAAACACCGGTAACAGTCACCCTCATCACTAATAGTCACAGCATACATAGCAGCAGGAATAGCATCAAAGTCAAGGTCAAAGATAGCTACCCCCGCCCTAGACAGCTCGCCCCAGCGAGGGATCTCAGTGGCCTCAAGGAACTGGTGACGCCAAGCGTCCGTCAGGCGGCCAAAGCAGCGCTAGGTGGAGTGCGCACCCCCGCATTGCTCACCCGCGCGGTCGCCGGTGCGTAGAACGTAGGTGCACGGACCAGTACCCCCACCCCTCTAGCGTGCAACGTACCACTCACGGAGCTACTGAGGGGGGGGGGGATGTCACGAGTGCGCTGCTGCTGCTGCTGCTGCTGGCGCTGACCACCACCGCAGCCGACCCTCTGCGCAGCGCCACCTCGACCAGCTCCACCTCCTCCGCCGCCGCCGCCTCCACCGCCGCCACCTCCGCCACCTCCGCCCCCACCGCCACCGCCGCCGCCGCCTCCGCCTCCACTGCCGCCACCGACACCTCCACCCCCGCCACCACTCCCACCACCACCCCCACCCCCTCCGCTGCCTCCACCGCCACCTCCGCCACCCTCGCCAGCTCCTCCAGCACCCTTGCCCCCCTTGCCCTTGCCGGTGCGGCGTCTCCCGCTCGGGGCAGACGCAGCGCCGACCAACTCGAAACCAACGAGGTCGGCCGCAGCAGCAGAGGAAACAGAGGGCAAAAGGGGGGAGGGGGAACACCCCTCAAAGTCGGGGGTGCGAGGGTCACCACGAGAGGCTCCTACAGCGACTATGCTCTTCTCTGCTGCGATGAGAGCCTTCTCGAGGAGGTCAACGGTGAGCGTGGTGGGGCAAACTGAGAGGAAGTGGTCCCTGACTACGCGAAGGGAGTCAGGGTGCCGGGTAACTATGTAGTAGAGGGTGATGTATATGGGGGGGGGGTTCTTGGCGCAGAACTCAGCAGGAAGCGCAGCGCGGTAGCGAGTGTCACTAGTGCGGAGGTGCGTAATGAGGTCAGCGACTGTGGGAAAGGCAGCAAGGTCAGGGAAGAGGTACGGTAGCATGAGGCGGCTTAGTGCAGCAGTGGCAAGGGAGGAGTAGCGCGCAACTACAGCGTCGTACAAGGTCTGAGCACTCTTGTATTGGCTAAAGTGCGCACGCTCAGAGGTAGGCAGGTGGCGACGCACAGCAAGACGTGCAGCAGCATCATGTGTGGCCCACTGTGAGCAAACAGTGGCTGGGGCAGGAGAGGCACCAGAGGTGAGGTCAAAGAGGGAAAGACCGTCTGCCCGATCGCACTGTAGGAAAAGCTGCAGGTGATCTACCCAAACGTCAAAGTCAATAGCCCGACCCTCAGCGTCAAAGGCGAGGACACTAGGGGTAGCCATGACAGCAGTAGACTAGCAGCGCGAACTGTAGGGTAAGGGCAGTGTAGTGACAGATGCGCTGCTCTTACCGGACAGGGCAGCTTGGGCAGCTCGGCGGCTCGGCAACTCGGCGGCTCGGGCAGCTCGGGCGGCTCGGCGGTACGGCGGCTCGGCAGCAACTGCGGCTCGGCGGCTCGGACGGCTCGGGCGGCTCGGCGGTACAGCAGCTCGGGCGGCTCGGCGGTACAGCGGCTCGGCGGCTCGGGCGGCTCAGGTGGTGCGGCGGCTCGGGCGGCTCGGGAAGGGCAGCTCTGGGGGCGCAGGGGTAGGCAACGGGGCCAGCACAGGCGGCGCCGAGGCAGGGAAGGGCGGCGTCGAGGCCGCAGGGGTAGGCGACGGGGCCAGCAGAGGCGGCGCCGAGGCAGAGAAGGGCGGCGCCGGGGTCGCAGGGGTTGTCGACGAGACCGTAGGGTAGGCGCCGAGGCTGAAGGGTAGGTGCCGGCGCCGCAGGGTAGGCGACGGGGCTTGCAGGGTAGGCGCCGGGGCCGCAGGGTAGGCGACGGCGCCGCAAGGGTAGGCGCCGGGGCCGCAAGGGTAGGCGACGGGGCCGCGAGTGCGGCTTGGAGGGGTCGCTAGGGCGGCTGGAAGAGGCCGCGAGGGCGGCGCAAAAGGGCCGCAAGGGCGGCGCGAAAGGGCCGCAAGGGCGGCGCGAAGCGACGGGGCCGCGAGGGCGGCGGAACGAGGTCGCGTGGGCGGCGCGACGAGGCCGCGAGGGCGGCGCGACGTGCTGGGGCCGCGAGGGCGGCGCGACGGGGTCGCAAGGGCGACTCAACGGGGCCGCTAGGGAGGCGCGACGTGACGGGGCCGCAAAGGCGGCGCGACGGGGCCGTAAGGGCGGCGCGACGGGGTCGTGAGAGGGGAGCGCGACTCAGGCATAGGCTGAGCGCGCTCCGGGCAGGAAAAAAAACGGTGGGCCCTAGGAACAGTTCCCACAGGGGAACCTGCTCTATACCATGTGAAATTGAACGAGAATGGAATGACTAAGGGAAAGTTGGGTACAAGTACAGACCCCTAGAAAGCTGTACCCCATGTGTGCTACCCCACTACAGCCTACAGTAGCTATGTTATGTAAATCTGACATGCGGAGCTCACCGATTCATTCTGCAGCGGAGAGGCCGAAAGCGTGAACGACTGGATGGTGCTCTCCTCACAACAAAATTTCTCAAGGAGACTAAAGGCAAACTTGCCACCACGGATAGAGTGAAGACCGAGCACCGGAAAGTCCTGCTGGAAATGTGCTCTCACCTGGAGATGAACAGTGCGGATCCAAAGGATCAGAACCATAGACGTCGCCCTTATGCTCTAAAGGAAGCACCGTGGCGTAGCGCATGAAGTCGCTCTAAAGGAGCTTGTCAGAAACAAGAAGTGATTGAACTATGAAAAGTGGGAATACAAGTAGCAAACCCTAGTTTGTGTACCCCCTAAAGGCTAACCCACTGTAGCTTACACAACAACAACACATATAGTGTTTGACACACCCCCATAGGCAAAGTGGGGGAGAGCAAGGGGTCACAAGGCCAGTCAAGAGAGGCAAGCAAGCTCAGGGTGGATCACAACGTCAACACACATTCCGAGCACAAGCAGAGGGCCACATTGCCAGTTCACATGGAGAAGTATATATGCAGTACAAACAAGTGTGAACTCAACCTAGCAGAGCAGACATGCAGGAGAATATATATAGAGATCACAATACAGGTAAAGCCTACAACAAGTGAGGAAAAGTGGGCACCAGCCCCAGCAAAGTACAGAAGCGCTGATGATCACCAGGCTGAAGTGCCTTGGTGAATATATCAGCGGTGTTGGCCTGAGAGGCCACGTAATGCAGACGAAGCTGGCCGCGCTGCTGCAGCTCTCGAGCGAGGAAGTAACGAAGAGCAATGTGCTTCGTTCTGTGCTCCAGTCTGTGCTCCTCACATAAGGCAATGGCAGCCTTGATGTCGACGTACAGCACTGGAGGAGAACTAGGCCGCTCTCCCAGGTCGGTCAGCAGGTAGGTGAGCCAGCGTAACGCCTGTGCAGCCATGGCTGTGGCGTAGATCTCAGCCTTGCAACTGGAGCTGAGAACTGAAGACGAACGCGTAGAGCGCCACGAAACTGAGCCAGAGCCGAGGCTGAAGGTGTAACCCTGTGACGACCACTGAGTAGTCAGGTCGTCAACCCAAGAAGCGTCTGAGTGCCCAGTAAGAACAACTGAGCTCCCTCCTCCAAGCACGAGCCCCATGCCCGATGTAGTGCACAAGTAGCGCAAGACCCTCTTTGCAGCATCCCAGTGCACCTTTCGGTGCCTGCCAGGAGCCACGTAGCGGGCCAGAAGGCCAAGATGGTATACTAGGTCAGGACGAGTGCAAGTCATCAGATACATGAGGCAACCAACTAGCTCCGGGTAAGGACCACTCGACTCTACGGACTCATCCGAAGGCAGAGCTGAGAGCGAGTGACCTACAGCTAGAGGAGTGGCCTGTGCTAAGGACCAGGTGAAGTCGAAGCGCTGAAGGACCTGCTGCACCATATGTGACTGATTCAGGGTAATGGTGCGGCGTGCTCTGTCCCGGGTGATCTGCAAGCCAAGGTAGCTGCGCAGTTCACCCAAGTCTGTGCACGTGTGTCTCTTCTACAGCTCCGACTTCACGTGGGCGAGAGCCTCAGTGTCAGTAGTGGCAAAGACCAAGTCATAGACGTACACGAGAATGTAGAACGGCGGCAGCGAAGTGTCGGTGCGCAGAAACAGCGACGGGTCAGCTGTAGAGGGCGCAAACCCAAGTGCCGCTAGAGTAGTCCTCAGTGTGTCGTGCCACTCACGTGGCGCCTGGCGGAGTCCGTAGACTGGCCGCCGGAGGCTCCACTGGGTACCAGGAGGAAACGGCCCAGTGAAGCCAGGAGGGCAGCGCAGCCAGATCTCCTCGTGCAGACTGCCCTGCAAGAAAGCTGTGCTGAAGTCAAGAGAGTGAAGCTCGTAGTCACGCTGAGCAGCAACGTGCAGTAGCACCCGAAGAGTGGTCATCTTTGAGGTGGGGGAGAAGGTCTGAAAGAAGTCTACTCCCTCTCGCTGACTGAAGCCTCGAGCAACGTAACGAGCCTTGAAGACAGGCGGAGAACCCGGTGGCCGCTTCACCCTGAAAATCCACATGCCACTGACTATGTTCGCCCCAGGAGGGGGAACCTTGTCAACGTAAGTGCCTATGGACTTCAAGGATGCCATCTCTGCATCCATGGCTGACTGCCACTGGGAGGAGTACTCACCCGCCATCGCCTCAGCGTAAGAGCGCGGGGTCGGGATGTCTGGAGCATCCGGGTCTCCCTCAGGGGCAATCAGCATGGACACGAGATGAGGCGCAGCGGCTGCAAGACACTCAAGGTCCTCCTGTCTGTCCTCAAGGGCGTCCGTGCCTAGAGCACACTCACCCCCGACGGACGGAGGACAGACAGACTCAGACTCAGCAACAAGACTGGCAGCGTAGTCTAGACGACAGTGAGCAGCAAAGTCAACAAGCTCAGCAACTAGGGCAGACGCAGCAGCAGACTCAAAGGAAGGGTCCGTGGCAGCAGTGGCCAGGAGACGCGTGACAGTAGGACTGGCAGCACGAAGGGAGTCAGACTCCGGGTCAGCAAGAACAGGAAGAGAGGACTAAGGAGGAGACGGCAGAGGGACACGCTGTGGAGCAGTGAGGACGCAGAGTCATATAGTGTGTGCCAGGCACAGGTGGAGGACGCTCACGCTGACCACGGCGACCAGTGCGAGCAGCACGAACAGGTGATACATGATGCGACACAGGCGACACAGGACGAGACTCAGGCTCACAACGCTCTGTAAAACCGCCTGTCGGACCAGTGTAGGGAGAAGGACCAAGAAGTGGCGAGACAGGTGGGAGCTGGGACAGCGACTGGACAGGCGGAGGACACTCTAAGGAGGGAGGAGGACGAGGAGGAGGTGGCTGACCAAGAACCTGCTGAAGGAGCGGAAGGAAGTACGGCCGTGGTTGTGAAGTGCCCCCAAAAGGAGCACAGACAGCACCAGAGGCTCCAGCCGAACCAGTACGAGCAGCACCTCCGGTAGCTCCAGAACCTCCAGTAGTACCAACAGCACCTCTAGGACCTCCAGCAGCACCTCCAGCAGCACCAGCACCAGCAGCACCTCCGGCAGCTCCAGAACCCCCAGCAGCCCCGGCAGCACCTCCAGCAGCTCCAGAACCTCCAGCACCACCAGCACCAGCAGCACCACCAGTAGCACCAGCAGCACCTCCAGCAGCACGAGCACCAGCAGCACCACCAGTAGCACCAGCAGCACCTCCAGCAGCTCCAGAACCTCCAGCAGCACAAGCACCAGCAGCACCACCAGTAGCACCAGCAGCACCTCCAGCAGCTCCAGAACCTCCAGCAGCACCAGCACCAGCAGCACCACCAGTAGCACCAGCAGCACCTCCAGCAGGCGGTACCTCAAGACGAGGAGCTCCACTCCTGAGGCTGCAGCGTCGAGCGTACCACTCACGTAGCCGCTGAGGGGAGGGAGGCTCGGGCTGTGGGACTGCACGTGCGAGGCCACCAAGCTCGACTCCAGCAGACCCCCCAGCTCCAGCAGCCCCACGATGGAGGCTGTAGCGCTGAGAGTACCACTCACGCAGCTGCTGTGAAGAGGGAGCGCCACCAGGCTCAGCACCCCTAGTCTCAGCACTCCCAGGCTCAGCACCTCCAGTCGCAGCACCTCCGGGCTCAGCACCCCCAGTCTCAGCACCCCCAGGCTCAGCACCCCCAGTCTCAGCACCCCCAGGCTCAGCACCTCCAATCTCCGCACCCCCAGGCTCAGCACCCCCAGTCTCAGTGCCCCCAGACCCAGCACCACCAGGCTCAGCACACTCAGTACCTCGCGCAGGACCAGAGTCAACAGCTACCTCGACAGGCTCGACCGGGTCTACCTGGGAAACACCTGAGGGAGCAGCACCCTGGGGAGGGAGGGGGTCTACCGACGGGACACCTGGGGTGAGGAAGAGGGGCGGGGGGGGAAGCGGGGCAGTGCGGTAGGGGAAGAGACGGTAAAAGGGTACCGACTCGTCAAAGGTGACGTCCTGAGAGGCGAAGACACGTCGCGAGGTGGGGTGGTCAAACCGCCAGCCAGGCGCGTCAGGGACAAAGCCCAGGAAGACACAGGGAACCGCACGGGAGGAGAGTTTGTCCGCGGACGTATCGCGGACAAAGGCTCGACATCCCCAGACTCGGAACACCAACGCGTCGCCAACCTCCCCCGTCCAACGCAGAGTAGGCGAGGTCTCCGGAACAGAGACACGGGGCCAGAGGTTGAGCTGATGCGCGGCGTACTGCACTGCAAACGGCCACAGGAAATGGGGAGCAGCCGCATGGATCATGGAGGTACGAGCGACCTCCATGACAAGACCAATGCGGCGCTCAGCAACCCCATTCTGCTACGGAGAGGTTGGGAGAGTGAACGTCTGGCGGATGCCGTGCTCCACATAGTAGGCCGCCAAGAGGTCAGAGGAAAACTCGCCACCTCTGTCAGAGTGCAGACGGAGGACAGGAAAGTCCGACTGGAACCGCTGGCAGAGCTGGAGACGAGCAGCGCGGATCCAGGGGATCAAGACATCAGGGACCTCACCCTTGGTACGCAAGGGGAAGACCATGGTGTAGCGCGTGTAGTCGTCGACGACCAGCAGAAAGTACCGCTCGTTGCCCTGTCCCCGGACGCGGGCGGGGCCCCACACGTCTAGGTGGAGAGTCTGCAAAGGACCCTCTATGGGAGGGAACGAGGAGGAGTGAGGAGCGGCGCGCTGCCGCCCCTCGATACAGGGAAGACAGGGAGGAGCAGGGGAGGAAGGCAGGGGAGGGAGAACTCTGGGAAGACCAGAGACAAGGTACCTGGAGTGCATGCCGCGAAGGGGCTCCACTGACGGGTGACCAAGGCGGTGGTGCCAGAGGACAGTCCTGTGTGATAGGGAGCGACACGAGCAGGGGGCCGACAGCTGACCAGACGCAGACGCAGTCGCAGCTACCCGAGGGGACTGAGTGGTCAGTGTGCACAAGTCCGACCCCGGCTGCCGAGTGAAGGTAGCCAGGTGACGACTCGTCCGGGCACACGTGCAGTGTGTCACACGCTCGTAGGCAGGGGTGAACTGGTGAACACCCGCGTCCTGGAGCGCGGAACCCGCCACCAAGTTCGTAGAGAATGAGGGGAGGTAGAGGCCCGACAGCCTGCCAGACGGGACAGCAGGACAAGGGAGGGCAGTGGTGGAGGTCGCAAGGACCGGACCCCCTGAGGGGTCAGCCAGGGAGACAGCAACCGGTCTAGGGAGCTGCTCGAGGGCAGTGCGGTCGCGAAAGAAACAGCGGGAAGCACCGGAGTCTAGTGTGAAGGTGTGCAGTGCCTCAGTAGGTGCAGTACCAGCAGACGCAGACGCACTAGCACCTAGGGCAGCAGCCTCACCAGGACCTGGAGCAGCGGACGCACAAGCACCTAGAGCTGCAGCCTCACCGGTGTCAATACCTGGGTCGGGCGGTACACTCAAGTAACAGTCACCCTCAGCACTAATAGTCAACGCATACATAGCAGCAAGGATAGCATCATAATCAACAGCAAAGATATCAATCCCCTTCTTAAGCAGATCAGCCCAGCGGGGCAGCTCAGAATCGTCAGGGAACTGCTCGCGCCAGGCGTCGTCGAGGCGAAAGAAACAGCGTCGGGCCGTGTGAAACCTCCCACAAGTCTGGCCAGTGCGGTCTCCTGTGCGGATGACGTACGGGCAGGTACCCCCTCCCCCAGACCCCCCACGCTGAGAGTACCACTCACGGAGTTGCTGGGGTGAGGGAGTCTCGCCGGGGCGCTGCTGCTGCTGCCTCTGGCCACCGCCAAACCCCCCACGCTGCACCGCTCCACCGCGCCCGCCACCCGCCCCACCGCCGCCACCACCGCCAGCACCACCGCCACCACCCCCACCACCGTCGCTGCCGCCACCACCCTCGGTGCCGCCACCGGCCCCCCCACCACCCGTGCCTTTCCCACTCCCGCCACCACCCCCGCCCCCCCCCACCTCCTCCACCGCCGCCGCCCCCGCCTCCACCTCCACCACCCTTGCCCCACTTGCCCCTGCCGCCCTTGCGTCTCCCACTAGGAGCAGACGCGGCCCCGACTCTCTCAGTTCCGAGGAAGTCGACAGCAGCAGCAGATGCAATGGAGGGGAGAAGGGGGGAGGGGAAGCACCCCTCAAAGAAGGGGGTGCGGGGGTCACCACGAGAGGCACCTACAGCGACAATGCTTTTCTCAGCCGCTAGGAGCTCCTTCTCGAGGATGTCGACAGTGAGGTCAGTGGGGGAGAGAGCGAGAAACTGGTCCCTGACAGTGCGAAGGGAGTCAGGGAGGCGGGTGACAAGGTGGTACAGTGTGAGGTACATCGGGGGGGGGGGGGGGGGGTTCTTGGCAAGGAAATCGGGGGGGAGTGCTGCACGGTAACGGAGGTCAATGGTACGGAGGTTGGTGATGAGGTCAGGTACAGTGGCAAAGGCGGACAGGTCTGGGAAGAGGTAGGGCAGTGAGAGACGACCTATGGCAGCTGTGGCAGGGGAGGAGTAGCGCGCGACTACTGCGCCGTACAGCTCCTTGGCGGTCTTATGCTGTCCGAAATGCTCACGCTCATCTAACGGTAGGTGACTGCGAACGGCTAGGCGAGCATATGCATCACGGGTCTACCACTGGGAGCGAGCAGTACTGTCAGCAGTAGCGGGAGGTGCGGGAGCAGCGCCTGACGTGTGGTCATAGAGGGAAACATCGTCCTTGGCAGTGATCTGGAGGTACAGGTGCAGGTCATCAAGCCAGACATCGAACTTAATCGGGCGGCCCTTGGCGTCAAAGGTGAGAACAGTGGGACTGGCCATAGTGGCAGTAGCAGGTAGCAGTAGTAGCAGTAGCAGTAGCAAGACCAGTAGCAGAGGAGCAGGTAGGGCGGCGCGACTCGGTCAGGGCGGCGTGGCTCGGGCGGCGCGACTCGGACGGCGCGACTTGGGCGGCGCGGCTCGGGTGGGTAGGGCGACGCGACGCCGAGCCTATGCTCGGTGTGCGGCGGCGCCTAGGGTGCGGCTGCGCGTGGGCCGTGGCTGCGTAAAGCGGCGGCTAAGCGCGCGGGCCGCGGCTGCGTTCTAGCGCGGGCTGCAGCAGCTGGCGCGCGATCGCCGCGGGGCCTACGGGCGGGCGGCTGTGGGTCGCGCGTTGGCGTAGGGGCTAGTGGGGCCTACGGGCGACGACCTGTTGGGGCTCGCGAGAAAAAATCGAGCTGCCCTAGGCGGCGGTTTTCCTACGCGCGCTAAAACGGCGGGGCCGTGCTCGGGCTTCTAGCGGGCTGCGCACAGGCAGCTTGAGAGGAGAGCGCACGAGGGCACACGAGAGGAGAGGCGCACGAGGGCGCTAAAAAAAAAAGGGCGCACGAGGGCACCACTAGCGGAACGGTGGGCCCTTAGGTCTAGAACCTATAGCTCTTAATACCATGTTAGAAACAAGAAGTGATTGAACTATGAAAAGTTGGAGTACAAGTAGCAAACCCTACTTTGTGTACCCCCTAAAGGCTAACCCACTGTAGCCTACACAACAACACATATAGTGTTTGACAGAGCTCACCCATTTCATTATGCAGCGGAGAGGCCGAAAGCGTGAACGACTGGGTGGTGCTCTCCTCACAGCAAAATTTCTCAAGGAGACTAAAGGCAAACTTGCCACCACGGATAGAGTGAAGACCGAGCACCGGAAAGTCCTGCTGGAAATGTGCTCTCACCTGGAGATGAACAGTGCGGATCCAAGGGATCAGAACCATAGACGTCGCCCTTATGCTCTAAAGGAAGCACCGTGGCGTAGCGCATGAAGTCATCGCGGAGAGTCACTCTACAATTATCGTGAGCTAGACTACGGGGTGTTGGCATGAACTCTAGAAGTGATCGTAGCTTTGCTTAGTTCCTTAACACTTGCACATTCACAGGAGAAATTGGCAAGAGTTTCCCTTAGCAACGTTGGAATTACAGGATGATAGCAATGTCAATGACAAGAATGACTACATCAGACACCTAGTGTGAGAGTACGACGGCTTATGCCAACAATGCTTTTCTCAGCCGCTAGGAGCTCCTTCTCGAGGAGGTCGACAGTGAGGTCAGTGGGGGAGAGAGCGAGAAACTGGTCCCTGACAGTGCGAAGGGAGTTAGGGAGGCGGGTGACAAGGTGGTACAGTGTGAGGTACATCGGGGGAGGGGTTCTTGGCAAGGAAATCGGGGGGGAGTGCTGCACGGTAGCGGAGGTCACTGGTACGGAGGTGGGTGATGAGGTCAGGTACAGTGGCAAAGGCGGACAGGTCTGGGAAGAGGTAGGGCAGTGAGAGACGGCCTATGGCAGCTGTGGCAGGGGAGGAGTAGCGCGCGACTACTGCGCCGTACAGCTCCTTGGCGGTCTTATGCTGTCCGAAATGCTCACGCTCATCTAACGGTAGGTGACTGCGAACGGCTAGGCGAGCGTATGCATCATAGGTCTGCCACTGGGAGCGAGCAGGACATCGATTCTTGGCGTGTTGGAAAATGAAGAAGGCACGAGCGGAGCTGCAGGGCACCAACAGTGCGACATCCACGATGGGGAAAAAAGGAGATCATGATGGCGCGAATTTAAAACGTCACGACCGGCTGGCAACTGGGGAAATTGCGAGACGAATGGAGGCTCCGCGAAACAAGACTCTGCACCGACCGAGAAACTCCAGCCGAACACCCACGAGAGTAAGAATATTTCCTCTTGAGGTTTTCAAGCCTTTGAAAAAATCAAGGGAGATTTCAAGGCCAAGAAAAGGCCTTTATATTGCATCTTACGACCCCTGTTGGACGAATGCGTGGTGGTGTACCTGGACGACATTCTCATCTAATCCAAGAACATGAAGGAGCACGTGGAGCATCTACGTAAGGTGTTCAAGATCCTGCGGAAAAACAAATTCTGCGTGAAGTTGTCGAAGAGCGACTTCGCCCTGAAGAAGGTGCAATTTCTCGGGCACATCGTGAGTGGCGAGGGCGTACACGTGGACCCGCGGAAGATCGAAGCCGTCAAGAAGTGGAAAGTACCGGAGAACGTGAAGGAGTTGCAGCAGTTCCTAGGCCTCGCCAACTACTACAACAGGTTCGTGCCACAGTACGATAAGATAGCAGCGCCACTAGCCGACCTACTGAAAAAGGATACGCCCTACAAATGGGATACTCCTCATGAGCAAGCCATGGAGCAGCTACAGACACCAGAGACTACAGCGCCAGTTATCATCCTACCGGACCCAGACAAGGACTACGTGGTAGAACCAGATGCTACTGACCATGCAGTCGGAGCAGTACTGATGCAGGATCATAGAGGCGGTTTGCAGCCCATCACCTACCTCAGTAAGAAGCTACACGGAGCAGAATTGAATTACCCCATGAAAGACAAGGAAGCCTTAGCAATAGTCATACTGACCACTGCAGTCTATACTTACCACTGCAGTCTCAAATACCTGAATTCGCATCCGGCGCTCTCACGACGACAGGTGCGGTGTGGTGGACTTCCTGGAAACTCACTTCCACTACGACATCATCCACAAGCCCGGGTTACACAACAAGGCAGACGCATTGAGCCGCCCCGGCCATGTAGCAGGCATCCAGCTCGACGGGATGAACCCTCTACTCAAAGGTCTATTCCAACTTGGGTACTCCATGGACGTAGAGATCGCTACAGCACAGACTAAGAACTTGTTATAGTGGGAGAAAGACTTAGCTGTAAGGAAGGGCATAGGAAAGATTTGGGTACCAAACTATGCCCCGCTCCGACAAATTCTATTGGAGGATTTTCACGACGTACCATGCGCGGGACATTTCGGGAGCAACAAGACATTAGCAGGGATAGCAAAGTATTACTACTCACCCGGGATGGCAGCAGACGTGCAGCAGTTCGTCACCTCGTGCGACACGTGCCAGCGGATGAAGAGTAGCAAGCAGAAAAAAGCAGGGTTACTTTAGCCTCTACCAGTACCGGAGCAGCCATGGCAGGTCGTTATCCTCGACTTCATCACGGGACTTCCTTTGTCCTCACGAGGGCATGACGCTATACTTGTGGTGATTAACAAGTTCTCTAAAATGGGTCACTTCATCCCGACCAATGCCACAGCTACAGCTGAAGCAATTGCTCGCATCTTCTTCGACCGCATCATCACCATCCACGGCATCCCCGCTACACTCATCTCAGACAGAGACTTAAAATTCACGAGTAAGTTCTGGAAGGAGCTCATGGGACTGTTGGGGACAAAACTTGCGATGTCTTCGGCATACCACCTACAAACAGAGCGACTCAATCAAGTGGTTGAACAGTTACTGCGCACAGCTTGCATACAGTTACCGACACAAGAGTTCGCTTACAACAACGCATCACATGCGGCCACAGGGAAATCTCCTTTCTTCCTGTGTTACGGACGGGAACCACTCACACCATAGCAACCAACCACACCGGCACATGTCCAAGCCGCACACGACTTGGTCACCACCATGCAGCAGTTATGGGAGAAGATTCAGCGACGTCTCACCACAATGCAGAACTTCCAGAAGCAGTATGCCGATCGCCAACGGCGAGATCATTCAGTAGCAGTTGTAGATCAGGTGCTTCTGGACACGCACAAATTGAACATGTCTCACCTACCATCCAGACTCCGGCCTCGCTTCTGTGGTCCATTTCTCGTGGAGGCACTGGTGACACGAGTTACATTCCGCTTGCGCTTACCAGATAGATGGAAGCTTCACAACGCTTTCCATGTCGAGCTCCTAAAACCCTACAAGGACCCAACCAACAGTTCTAGGGACGGCAGCTACTGCCACCACCACCTGTTCTCATACAAGATGAACCAGAGTACGTAGTGGAGCGCGTTCTCACTCATCCGCACCGCGGCGGCAAGTCCCTCGAGTTCCCGATACGCTGGAAGGGATACGACCCCACTGAGGATAGTTGGGTTGCAGAAGCTGTTATGGACAACGCACGACGTGCTCTCAAGGACTATTTTGTCCAGCAGGGTGTATCTCATGCCCCCCTGCTTTGAGGGGGGGGGGGGGGGGGGGGGGGGGGTGTGAGAGTACGACGGCTTATGCCAGCTACGCTTGCTTGCCTTTACTTTATTATGCTATTTTTAGCATAGGTTATTTTATGCACACATGAATTTCTTGATTTCCTAGGCTAGGTGCTTTCCTATATTTTACTATATGTATAGCACCGAGCTAGGTTGCGTACACCAAATTCTGGGCTTTTCGGTTGCCACCGATTTGCCTTCTACCGAATTTAGGAAGGGCCTGTTCGGGACGCTTAGCGACCCTCGGAACTTTCGCATCACACCTGGTTACCGGGCCTTGTGTCGAGCCTATATATAGCCTTGTGTTGTACCTAGGTGAATTTTTCAATTCACATTCTCTTTTTTGAGCTCAATCCTAGATCCTCACACCTAGCAACTCTGCACCTAGCCTGGTCGATCGCCAGCACAGCATGGTCGACCGCCTGCCAGCGTCGTGTAGAGGAGCCGCGCCAGCATTGCAGAAACCCGGCCTGCCAACATAGCGAGTCGATGCCGTGCCAACACTGCAGTAGAGCGGTTGTCCAGCGTTGCACCCGTAGAAAACAGCAGTGTGCACGTCTGCAGGTGCGCGCAGAAGATTGGCTCGACTAGCACCGTTGTGCATCCGTCCTTCCTGGTCTGCGCCTGACGAGCCACATCGACTTCCGGATACCAGCCCGAATTCGTCTTCGCCATCGCAGCCTCGACGACGTTCGCGTGCCTCCGCAGAACTCGCCGAGTAGGTTATCTGGTCGACCTGGTCAGCCACCCAATTCTCTAGTCGACGCCTCCCTTGACGACCAC